TGTTTCTTAATCAAACACTAATTCTATCTAAATTTATATTGACAAGCCTTACACATTCTTCTAAGTCGCATCACCTGCTACGCATACAACAATGTATCGTTAGCAAATAATGAATGATTAGCATTGGTTATCACAATCTCCTTTATTTTTTCATAAATATTTACAATATTATATATCCTAATCCAAGTTATCACCGTCTTTAGTTACATATTCAAGTGGTATCAAATTACATCTTCAGTACGATACTAATTTCTGTTCACATGAAAATTGCTGACACAGCGTCTGCAATCGAACATGTTTAAACATGAAGAAATTACGAAATTATCGTTCCCATCAAAAATGCTGACGAAACGTCTATAATTTTGCACGAGGCCGGAAATGAACTTAATTTTAATTACTATAAATACTGTTAGATTTTAAGATATGATTTAGTCTAAAATTGGTGTTAATAAGAATAGAATATTATAATTAAACTATCAATTCGAATTTAAGTAATTGTAAAATTTAATTTTTAAGTAATAGTTGTGACATTGTGTGAAATAAAATTATTTTTTTATAATCGAATCAAGATAGTTTAATAACTGGCGCCCAACGTGACTTGAATCGTGAAATCGCAAAACTCTTCGTTAAATTTTAAAAGAAAAGAAGAAAAATAAGCATATCGCGATAAAAGTGTACCCAACTATAGTGCGCGTATTGTGGAAATCCGAAGTGAAATAAAAAGAAAAAGGAACTGAAGCAAACCGTACTTACAAAAAAGTGTTGAAGATTGTGCCGCAGTAGGACGTTTACGAGAATAAAAGTTCACGTCTAAAAAGGACAAACACAACTCAACCGCTATTCGCATTACTCACCAAGACTCAAACAGATGAATTACGTTTTTTTCCTGTAAGTAGTTTTTCATTACACTTAATCTTAAAAACTTAACTGAGGGAAACTAACTGCATCTCACTGAATAAGCTTTAAAAATATAGAAGCTTCGTTAATTTTAAAAAAATTAAGATTTAAAAAAATTGAAGTGATAAATGAAAATTAAATTGAAAATTTGAAAAATTAATCAATTAACCGATAATAAATTGAAAAATTAAAATTTAACCAATAAATATTTAATACAAAAAATAAAACAAAAGTAATTAAAAATTTAAATGAAACCAGTAAAAAATTAATAAGATTAACCAATTAAATTTTATATTACCAAGAAATATTTAATTAAAAAATAAAACAAAAGTAATCAGAAATTTAAATAAAACCAGTGAAAAATTAATAAGATTAACCAACTAAAAACTTAAATTTAACAAAAAATTTGAAATTAATCGACAAAATTTGAAAGAAAAATATAATTTAAAAGTTTAAAACCGCGTAATAGAATAATTTAATTAGTGAAATTACCTTAATAAAAAGTTAAAAATGGAACAAATAATGGAAGAGCTCAAAAAATTAAATGGAGCCATCAATGCTCAAATTGAACAAAGCAAACGGTTTGAAATTCGCCTAGCAAAACTAGAGGCTCAGTTCAATACACCACAACCGCAGGTAACAAATTTGGCAGCACCGAAAAGTGAAGACGACCTGAAACAAATATCGAGACTTCCGGACTGTGTCAAAGATTTACAAACCTTTGATGGCGATGCAGTGCAGTATGTATCATGGGTGCACAGCGTAGAATCAATTCTACGAGATTACGAAGTTGTCAGAAACAAACCCATATACAGAGCAATATTACAAGCTATTAGAGGAAAAATTAGAGGTAGAGCAGATGCAGCTCTAATATCGTACAACCTGTTCGACGAAGAATGGGCCGCAATCAAGCAGTGTTTGTCCCTGCATTATGCCGACAAACGGGACATACGCACATTGGAGCACCAAATGAGCACACTGACACAGGGAAGATCAACCATAGATGAATTCTACGCCAGAGTCAACCATCAATTCTCCCTCATAATCAATAAGATCAAGACCGAGAATTATACAAAAGAAACTATAGACGTACTGATAGAATCACAAAGAAACAGAGCACTGGACGTATTTATCCGAGGGCTCAATGGGGAATTGTCCAGGTACTTGATGCTTCAGAAACCGTCAACTCTGCCAGAAGCATATTCAACGTGTCTAGAGCTCCAGAACTATAGTTGCCGAAACTTCGCTATACACAACAGGAATGATAACAACAGAATCACTGTACCATTCAACAAAATGTCCATGAAACGACAACAACCAAGTGCTGGGAACCCAAGGTCGTATCAACCAGAACAGCCATTAACAGTGGAACAACGGAACTTGGCTTACAACATTCAACATCAGAGAGAATCGCAACCTCCACGTCAGGTTAATTATATGAACCGGCCAGACAACTACAGGGGAATATACAAGAGGCCACCATCAGTAGGCAACATGCCTAGCAATAAGCACCAAAGGCTATTCAATATGGAAACACTTGAAGACGACGTAGATGACCACCCAGAAGAATGCAGCGAATATGACGAAGAACCAGCATATGCAGATGATGAGGTTCAAGAAGTAAATTTTATGACGGACGCCTTTCAAGCGTTCCTTACTTAGAATTCAAGACAAAAAACAACCAGCTCCTAAAATTTCTAGTCGACACAGGAGCTAATAAAAATTTTGTAAGAGAAGAGATCGCGACAAATGCCAAACCAACAACAAAACCATTCAAGATACGTTCAGCTGGAGGAGATATAACAATCACCAAGAAGATCGGAGGAAGATTTTTTCAGAGTCTGGGAAACAACACCTTCATTGAATTTTTTGTTTTGCCAGGATTGAAGACCTTTGATGGTATAATTGGAGACGACACGCTTAAGAAGCTCGAAGCCATTATAGACAGAAAGAACAACACCTTAAGGATCAAGCCAGATATAAAAATTCCGTTAAAGGCAAAGGCATCAGCTCAAGTCAACACCATCGAAATCGGGGCAGACCACTTACCGAAGGCAAAGCACAAACCGATATACAAGAAAGAGATTGTGGCAAAAAACAATAAAGCTACCATTATTACCGCTTCCGGAAAAAGAATCCATAAATCACACATCAAGAACATATAACATTAGAATATTATGTTAATAATCAAAACCTTAGGTTTCTTTTTAGACTAGCAGTCACTAGAATTACAGCATTTCCGAAAATCTTCGAATTCAAAGGCGCAATAGCAACCATTAAACAAGGACAAGGTCAAATCTTGGAAGGAAATTTCAATTTGGTGCACATCATTGATTTAAAGAGCTATGACGAGGTTATACAACAAATCATTCCTTTGGTTGATGGAATCAACTCGACCAGCATAATGAAACCACAGTTAGAACACCAACTGGCTCAAATAATGGAATTTCTGACTAAATTGAGAAGCAGCAAATCAAGAGTTCAACGGTCAATAAATTGGATTGGTACAGCATGGAAATGGCTGGCAGGAACACCAGACGCCACAGACTGGGACAACATCGTTACAAGCCAAGACAAGCTGATACAAAATAATAATCAACAGTACAAAATAAATCGTGAAGTTATGAGGATAACAAACCAAGTAGTAGAAAGATTTAACCACATTTTGGAACATGTAGGGAACTTAGATCATCGATCCGAACAAATAATATTTAACAAACTTGGAATCATAAAAGAAGCCTTGGGAGAAATCGTGTTAGCGACAGAATTAGCAAAAAATGGAATTGTCAACACAAATCTTCTTAGCAGGATTGAAATCCAAAAAATACTGAAGGAGATCGATACACTACCCTACGTCAACGAAATTGAGGCAATAGAATACGCAAAACCACAGGTAGTAACCAATGGACGAGAAATTCTCTACATATTATCAATACCGAAGACAGGCAACCAGTACTATGACCACATTATAGCGAGATCAACAATCCGAAACTCCCAACAAGTCTACCTCGAATATCAGGAACTTCTCGTGAAAGATGACGTATATGGCATATCGACAAAATGCGAGAATTTAAGAAACATCACCATATGCGAAAGAAGTAAAATTCGAAAACTGGACGAAGGACACTGTATGTATCAACTGCTAAAGGGAATAAAAGCCAGTTGCAGCCTTCAATACAATAAGGAAGAAATCATAGAAACCATAAGTGAAAATATCATCTTTCTCAATAATTTCAATGGGGAGCTAACAAGTGGCAACACGAGCAAACACTTAACTGGAAGCTTTATGATACAGCATACCAACGAAACCGTTCACATAAAAGGTCAGAAATTTACAAGCGAATCTGCCACCACGTCGCAAGTTTTACCACCTGTTCTTCAAGAAAATTTAAAAGAAGGAGACATCAAGCTAAGCCTCGACTACATTCACGATCTTCATATCAGCAACACAAAACAACTTCAGAAGCTAATACCAAGGAGCCAACTCTCTATAGCATCCGATATTACTATAGGACTCGTCATCATTGCAGTCATCATCATTTGGGTCATCAAGAAAAACATCAGCAAGGTTGTGAGAAAACGCACTCCAACAGTGGTTCCTACTATAGAGATTCCGCAAATTTCAGTCATAGAAGCACCAAAATTCCAGCTTGATCTACGGGACGCAGATCTTTGAAGGGGGAGGAGTTATCACCGTCTTTAGTTACATATTCAAGTGGTATCAAATTACATCTTCAGTACGATACTAATTTCTGTTCACATGAAAATTGCTGACACAGCGTCTGCAATCGAACATGTTTAAACATGAAGAAATTACGAAATTATCGTTCCCATCAAAAATGCTGACGAAACGTCTATAATTTTGCACGAGGCCGGAAATGAACTTAATTTTAATTACTATAAATACTGTTAGATTTTAAGATATGATTTAGTCTAAAATTGGTGTTAATAAGAATAGAATATTATAATTAAACTATCAATTCGAATTTAAGTAATTGTAAAATTTAATTTTTAAGTAATAGTTGTGACATTGTGTGAAATAAAATTATTTTTTTATAATCGAATCAAGATAGTTTAATAACTTCCATAATAATTTCACTTACCTTTTGTTTTTGGTACGCTCACAATATATGTTAAATTTTTAAATGTAATATCAACTCGTTTCTGTTTAATTCCAGACATTTTAAATTATTCGTTTCCTCCTTAAGTAGTTATCTAATGTTATCTAAAAAAAAATAATATAGAAAACAATATTTTTAATTTTACTTATACTGAAATTTTGTGTTGTAATAAATGGTTATATTATAGTTATATTATAGGTTATATTATATTTAATATTATTTTTTTAATGGTTCAATAATGACAAATTATATAATGTATATATACTTATGTGTGTGCAATACTTCATATATCTTGTACCCAAAGAGTATTATTATTTAAATTTTTAATAATTAATAATTAAATTTTAGTTTATCATCAAATATAATTATATTTGAATTTCTCTTGAATTAATTGGAAACTAAAAATTTTTTATTTTTCTAAAAATTTTGCAAATTATCATAATTAAAATTTTAATATGTATTTATAGTTTGACATTGCATGATCAAAATGTTAATTTCTTCAGATCTTTTTCAAAGTTCAAATTTATCTACTAACTTCGTAGTATAGTACACGAAGTTACTATATAGAGGTAAATGTTATAGAGGTTAATAAGAGTTAGAAATTAAAATTAAAAGTACTTAATATATTTTATGCAATATTAAAATTTTTTTTTTGTAAATATATACATATATCACTATTAAACCTTGCAGTACAGTAAAACTTTCATATAACGAATCACATAAATATTAATATTTTTTTCGCTTAATATAGAAAAATTTTGCAAAATCAAAAATTCAATTGAATTGTATAATATCTAAAAAAATCTTTTTAATGTTCCATAGCACCATTGTAAAACCCATACAAATATTCGGAAACATCTAGAAAAAAGTCTTAATTTGCTGCAGATAACTAAAATAAAAACTATAATAACCTGTATAGCTACGAAAGAAGAGCGGCATGGGATATTATCAGCTACGGAATCGATTTGAAGTTAACAAGTCACGTACATAAAACGTTCAACTCTAAAACAGCTTCCAATATAACTACAGCATTCATCAGTAACTGTCATACATGTTAGGAAGGCATGCCCACCACCCAGCGCCAGCTTGGGCGGGCCCTGGCTGGTGGGCATGCGGTTGTGAAACATCCCTGCGGAAAAGTTGCTCGGATTCATCAAAAGTTTGGGTCTCGATGGGGTGCTCTAGGCGGGACACTGGGCGCTCGTGGTGAGTGGTACAATAGATCTTTTAGGTTTACGAAGAATTACGAAAAATATTAGAATAATATCAACAAAAAGAGGATTTAATAAGCACCTTTCACTTTATTCAAAAAAATTACATTTTTTAAATAAAGAATTCTGTTATATGGGTTGTTCATTGTATTAAAGTTCTACTGTATATGAAAAATTTTTCTATATATTATCAAAAATACAAATATCGATTGTATGAATCAATATTCATATATAATTATATAATTACTTATATTATTTTTAGGACTTAATTTTTTTTTGTGCTCCATGTATCATTCATTATACGTTAATAACAGAATACACTATTGATTATCTTTAAAAGAAATCACCTTTAATTTACTATGTATGTCTGTATAATTATTCAAAATATGTTATTTAATCAAATATATACAGAATTATACATTTGAAATAAATGAAAATATAGACATTTTTTTTAATATTAATACGAGTATAAGATTGATAAGAAATTATAATATTCTAATATATATATTTGCATTTTGCAAAGGAAAAACAATAAAATTGCAAATCGTATATAATGCAAATAAATATTGCTCATATATGATAAGAAGCAACCCAAAGTTTGAACTTTAAACTAATAAAATGCATTTTTCATTATTTCATATACATTTTTCAATCTTATATTCTAAACAAAAAAATTAAATACATTTATATGTCACTTACATATAACACGTCACATTTGATTGGTTACAGTAAGTTTAGCCATTTCACATTAGCGAGACGGACGCTCGATCAACACTGTCAAATTATTAATATATTTAACTAAGTATTTATTAATGAAAGAGAACATTTAATATGTTTTGAACCATCGATAACTGCAACACAATAACTGCGAAACGCAATAGTGCAAAAATATTTCATGATTAAAATTTGGCCGAAGTGGTATAATATTAGTTATTTTAAAATGGATCACTTAAAACATAGTCATGGGGAACATTTAAGACGTTTTTCTGTGTTTTTTTCTTCTAAATTTAAAAAAATTGTTTAAATATTTGCATTTATCATGTGTTATTAAACTAAAATATCAGCAACGGCATAGATAAGCTCAACTATTTCCTGTTTATAATTTATTAAATATCTAAATTACAACCTGTATATATTTACAATATTTCAACAAAATATATATACTTATATAGATAAAAAGGTATGTAATCGACAATGACAAATGCCGGTCGAAAACAATTGCATCTGACACAAGTCGGTGACTAATTGACAATGAACAATCAATACTTAAAGAAACATATTTTTAATAATTTGATTCTGACATTTCAATTAAATAAAATTAAATTATCCCCTTCACAAAATTTTCACTTAACGCAAAAAACAAAATAAATAGATTAATTTTTTTTTTATAAAAATGTCAAAACATTTTATCAATATAATATGATGGCCAATTGACATTATTGTTGACAACATTAAAAGTTACAATTCTTTTGTTTACTCCAATATCAATTAAAATGCAAAGGAACTCAACCTGAATTTTACATTGTCGTTTATACCTGATTTCCCATTTTTGTGGTAGATGTACATACTAATTTAAGGCAAATTGAAAAGCTCAAAAAAAAATTTTTTTTCGAATAAACGACGTAAAAGGGTTGTCAAATTTAAATTATAACATTGTATATGATACGATTTATTAATTGATAATTAAAACGTCATTAAAATTAATTGTTTCCAACAATATTGATTTCAATCATAAATTTTATTATCCGGTTTTTGAGTGTTAGAAAAAATTTAATAAAATGCAAATAACCTCTCTCTTTATAAATATTAATTTAAAAAACAAAATTTATATTCTAAACATAAATTAAATAATTAAAATTGTAGTGTAAAATAATTTTATGACTTTTAGCAAATAAATTTAATTAAGATATTCAAGATAATTATAGTAATAATGAAAATCGATATTAATTAAAATTTTATTTTGAATGATTTTTTTTTTTTGCAAACTGATGAGCTCTAAAACATAATACGAGTACACATAGCATTTTTATATTAAATTTTCAATCAAATAATTCTTCAAATACTTAAATGTATATATTATACCGAGCTAAAATATTTCGGATATTCGGAAAATATGGATAATAGAACAAGAAGGAACGGTAAAATTTAACGAAAGAAGCTTTTGAATATCATAAAAGGTATGTTTAAAACATTTAGAAGCATCAGTATTATAAAAGTAATATAAGTAATAATCCAAAAAATTTTTCATAACTTTATTGAAAATTAGGCTCAAGCTGCGAAAATTATAAAACTGTAAATGTGGCTTCCAAAACTATACTTACATAGTTAAAATATTTAAATTTGGCATACAAACAAATCTCACTAGAAATTTCTTTTTTTGATGAAACTTTGAAAATACTAAAGGTCGAGAAATAGTAAAATTAGTGAATGCTAACTGACCAGTTAGCGTCAAGTTAGAAGATTGGAACAAAATGGAAAAAATTTGAAATGGTTTCCAGAGCTATATCACTATATACGAAAAATATAGTATCATCGCTATCTGTTCCAGAAACTACAACGAAGAACAAAAATTATGGATATAATATTATTTGATGAAAAAAAAATAAAATCTATGTATGAATACGACAATAAAATTACAATATAAGAAGAAACCGACTGATTATGTTCAAGTTGCAATGATTTTCGGCTTTTACATTACAATTAGAAACAAGTTATTTATTATGATTACGATATAGCCATGACCGTCTTGTATGTTTAAATAAATAATATTCAAATTAAATAATAAATAAATTTTATAATATTTGCAATTATAAATATGGGTTTATGGAAAAAACTTCAAGTCTTACAAGAACTTCATTTTTTTTCAATAGAAGATAAGGAAGTTTTTGTGTTTGCTAACAGTCCACATTTGTTTAAATTGATTCGTAATAATTTCATTGGTTCCGATTTTTTACACAATAAGAACTTATATAAAATCACGTACTTGTAGTTTTTTTTTTGAATATGTTACTACTTTGATATAATTTTTCAGTTTCATTTCCTATGATGTTACAGACAACTCTATATCAATAATTTTGTATACTGCGTTGATTTTGTTTGTCACGTTGATACCTGATATTACTAATAACTTTGCTTTGCAATTTAAAACTAGTGTATGAAATGACTTCTAATGTAATTATTCTTTACAAAATCATATTTATATATCTAAAATATAGTGAAAGTTTTTTTTTAATACAATGTAACATTTGAGTATCTATATATTGTTCTAATAATAAATTGATTATCATATTTTTAATTATATGATTAAATATCATGATAAACATATGAACTTATGTGACATTCTATAGAATTAATTACTCAACTATGTAGTAATTTAAACACTTACACTTAAATATTCCAAATCTAATTGCGAATCTATATAAATGAAATGAAATATTAATTGTTCATTATTAACTGCAATAACAAACAGCTTACTTTAACTATAATCTTAATTACATAATAATTACTTTTTTTTTAAATATATTTTTTTTTCTATAACTGATTATTAGAAATACTTTTTTTTTTATTCTGAATTAATTTGTAATATTAATGAGAAAGAAATAATTAAATTATGAATTTCAATTATGAGAAAATGAAAAAAAACATACTCTCAGGAAAAGCTAACAAAATTTACAAAGTAGAATAAAATATTTATTCTCTAAAAACTTGAGTGAATCTGAAATCGCATTTAACTCTATGTTGAATTTGGCACTTAAATTTTGCTCTCTTAAATAATTTTTGAGAACACCATAAATTACAAACGCATTAAATAGATTCAAATTCATTAAATTTCTTATTTCAAGAACAATTGCCTTCAGAGTTCGGAAAATTAATTAAATGCAATTTATTCGTTA